AAAGGGCACGGAGACAGCTTGTGGGAGTTATCTACCCTTCCTTCCTCACAAAGTTCCTTTGCCTGCTTCCAAGTTCCCCAAAACATGCATCTTTTCATTTGCTAATTTGCTTCTAAAAGACCAATTCTGTCCCCTCACCGCTTTTTCTCCATTATGGAAACTGAATTATAGCAATTTAGCCTTATAACATAATTCTGCCACAATAAGGCAGTTTGGGCCAGGGTGGTACCCGTGTGCTCGTGGGTGGGAGTGAGGAGCAGATAATTTACTACAGCAGAATTTTTCTGCATTTGTTTAAGAAAAGTTAGCGAGCAGCCATGTTAGAATGAAGCTGTGTTTCAATATTTTTATTTTAGGGTTGGTGACATTGGAAACCTATCTAAATGTGTATCTGTATGATGCCAAATAAACTTATTAAAAGTTTTTAAAAAGACAAAAGACTTGTTGGTTTGATGGGCTTAGATCACACAAATAACAGTTTGAGTACTCGCTCCCTTCTTTACATTTGATTTTTAAAAAACTTACATGAATGAATTGGTCATTTGTTTTTATACTGGGGTATTTAAAAAGTCTCAGAGTTCTCAGTTGTCTTTAGTTACAGTAAACACACACATACACTCGCACGCACGCATGCACACAACTTGTGACAAATTGCTTATAAGACCAGGTACCTACTTAACTCTGTAGGTAAGTCTCAAAGAAATGAAGAGGAAAGAACGGAGAATTTTAGCATTTTTGTTGTTCACACTATGGTGAAATGAAGTCATCTACGTTTGTGAATGAAGCTGGTGTTCCGGTCATCAGAGAGCTTCCTCAAGACAGAGCATGTACTTCCCAACACATCTGATTATTTATTATATCTCTCTATGCAAAAGAAGATGGATATCTGCAAGAAAGTCTGATATTAAGATTGTTTGAAAGCAGGTGTTACTGCCACCTTTTTTCTGTGTGCTCGTGACTGGGAGATGCCCCTTCTCTCCTGCATTCATATTAGGCCTTTGGCACCTAGGGCAATAACATTGGAGTCCATCTACTTGTGAGGCATCTCAGAGGCCTGTGTTAGGTGTAATCTGCAATCTCCATGAGGCCCAAAGCTCTTAAGTTCCTTCTCCCTTTCCTTCTCTTCCTTCCTTCCTTCCTTCCTTCCTTCCTTTTCTTCCTCCCTCTCTTGTTTACTTTTTGGTGCTGGAGGTTGAACTAAGGGCCTTTACATTGAATTACCTCTCTAGCCCTTTGAAATTTTTTTAAAAAATATTTGAAACAGAGTCTCACAAAGTTGCTGAATGTCTTAGGGTAGTTTTGAACTTGGGGTCCTCTTGTCTCAGTCTCAGGGTTACAGATGTTCACTGAAGTTTCATAGCTAGTCAAAGGTTGGTCCTGAGCATTGGAGTTGGCTTCTTATGCAGGGAATACAGTGCCCAGCTGCCTCAGCACGGCCAGCTCAGAATGCTGCTGCCGCTCCACACACATCCTGCCAGGCAGAGCTGTGACTCTTGTCAAAGTGGGCAACATTTGGCTCCTCTGTGAAAAGTGGATTCTGAACAAACCCACCTGAGCAGCTGATGAAAGTGACAAATGAAGGCTCAAAAGAACGGAAATTCTGGGTGAGCACAATTTTCCTTCAATTTGAAATCCTGTATTTTTAACTTCATTGTTAAGAGGCCTGAAGAATCACTTGACTTTTCAAACATGCTTTCACATATATTAAGGAGATATTATAGATATGCTGAGTTTGTTTATTTAATTATCATTTATTTTGTGGGGCTGGGGATGGAATCCATGGCCTGGAGCTTGCTAGACAAGCGCTCTACCACTGAGCGACATCCCTGGCCCTGGCAGCTTACTTTTCAATGAACTTCTTGGATTTATGCCTTCTTCTTCTTCTTCTTCTTCTTCTTCTTCTCCTCCTCCTCCTCCTCCTCCTCCTCTTCCTCCTCCTCCTCATTCTTCTTCTTCTTCTTCTTGTTATGCTTAAGGTGTATTGGAAAATGTTTCTTAGACTATCATACTGTAAGAATTCAAAAATATTTCTGAACTGCTCAGGACTATCATAGATTTTCAGCACTGAAATGAATAGTATCGAGAAGAATGACAGTGATATATTTACAGTACTGAGAAATGGGTATGCCTTAATTAGCACAGCTTAGAAGTGAAAGCCTTAGGAGGAGTGGGAGTTGCCCAGTGGTAGACTCATGCCTGTTAGCATGTGTGAGGCCCCTGGGTTCAATCCCCAGCACTGGAAGCAAGAAAAGAGCAGTCGGAGGCAATATTCACAGTGCCAAGCCTTCCTCCCTGTAGGAGAGGGCTCTCTCCCCCACACGCTCTCTTTCGGGTATGAGTGGAGCTTTTTTGCCTCCTCCTCTTCTTCCCCTTCTTTCTCTCCTCCTTTTTTCTTTTTCTTTCTTTCTTTCCTCCCTCCCCCATTCTCTCCCTTCTTCCTTTCTTACCCTCCCCCTCTGTTCTTTCTTCTTTCTCTTCATCTTCTCTTTCTTTTCCTTTTTTCTTTTCTTTCTTTCTTTCTTTCTTTCTTTCTTTCTTTCTTTCTTTCAGTACTGAGGTTGAATCCAGGGCGAGGGACTACTGAGCAACATTTTCAGCCCTTCTAACTATTTATTTTGAGACGTGATTTTGCTACATTGTTCAAGCAGGACTCAGACTTGCAATCTTCCTCCTCAGGCAAGTCCTGGGATTGCAGGCATGTGCCACCACCTAAGTCTCCTTCCTTCTGTGACTGAGATTCTCCTTCTCAAGTTATTATCCCTCCTTACCTCATTCTCACTCTCCTTTTTTGTTTGCATTCTTTCCATTTTAATGATCTCAAAGTCAAGATGACAACTAGGTAGGAAAGAGGAACTAACATATAATAGATATCTTCTCTGTTTTTCATATATTATCAGACTGAATTCTCACAGTGCTCTTTGAAATGAAGCCCTGAAAACACTTTATTTTGCAAAAGGAGCTCAGAAGTATTAAGAAACTTGCTGTAAACCATCCAGCAAAACAGTAGAGGAGTCATATCCAGGTTTATGTAGCTCTGAGGATGGAGCTTTTGCTATTCTTAGGCAACTGGATTTCTACTGGTTTGTATTTTGGTGAAGGCGATTTTGTTATCTTCTTTCTCTCAAGGTCTGACCACATCGCTTCCATTCTAACGAGTTTTCCTCACACACTAAGAAACAGGATTGAATTATGGAATGAAGCTATTGCATAGTGTAGGACACATCTGATTACGTTTTCCTCTCTGTGCATTATAGAGTTTAAGGATCATCCATGTCTTGGATGCATTTCTGGAAAAGGTACTCTTCTAATGCATCGCCTGAGTCCTTATTTTCAAAATAACTGTAGGATATCTTAGCCAAAAAGCTATGCATCTTGGTTATAATTTTAAATTTATCACTGTGCTATCCTTGTGAAAACGTCCAACTCAATATTTTTCTCCTTCCACTCTCCCTCCAAATGTTTAAGACCACCATTACCTACTAACTGTGGACTGAAATAGCAAGCCATTAGAATGTCTGCATTAACATCCAAAACATACTAGTTTTCTTCCAGGATTCCCGTATCTATTATTGTGAAAACATTTAACTTTTAAAACTCAAATGGTTTTCCCAAGCCAATTCTCTAATCACGGACATAAATTGCACTCCATTAAGGAGAGGAAACCAGGCAGTATGACTAAAGTTAGGAATATGATCAAATTTCAAGGGAGGAAAAAAAAGAAAAAAGATTAGGCATGGAATTCTTTCCATTGCTTTTGCTTGTGAAACACAGTTAAAATAAAAGTCCGCTTTCCTGCACACATAAAGTGTGCAGACCTTGAAAGCGAGAGCTTAGGTTTGAATGTGGGTGCTGTCATTTGCTCACTGACTTGGTTGGTTGCACAGAGGTTGTCTAAAGACTGTTCCATTTTTCCTTAGAATGGCGAGAGAGGCTGGGGGCCGGGCAGGACTGGTAAGAGCCAGCAAGATGCCTTCCCTCTTTCTGTAGCTTAGGGTGATTGGAAATTATGCAGTTGCATCTTCTCCCTTGAAATGCTTTCTACATATTTGTGAGTCTTCTAAATAATGATTATCAAGAACTGGTGAGATACGGGCAGGGTATGAACAAGGTTGGGGATGTGCGTGTCCGGGCCCATGGGTGGTAGATTGGTGGTATTCTTTTGATTACTACTCTTGAAAATGCCTCAACTTCTCAAGGGTTGCTTTTCTTTTTTTTGGTACCGGGGATTGAACTCACGACCTCGCGCTTGCCAGGCAGGAGCTTATGCCACTGAGCTAAGTTCCCAGCCCAAGAGTTGCTTTTTAATGTTTATCAAGACTTTTCTTTATTGGTGCCTTTTTCACCCCATTACACTTGTTTTCTTGCTTTTTTTTTTTAAACTTAGTTTTGTTCAACTATCTTTTAAACATGTTAACTCTTTTGCTATCTGTAGTAAGAACATGAGACCGCTCTGTTCTCACCTCACCAACAAATAGCAAGTGTGTTTCTTTCTTTTTAGAATGCTTGGTGAGATGTACATGCTTGATCTCATGGGAATATACAAATATACATGTACCCCTATTAAAGTATACAAAATGACATAAAGTAATTTTTATGTTTACCTTATAACTGATTTACATGTATGTTTAATTTAGCTGAGAAAGAAGAATTTTTTAGGTTTTTCTAGTAAGTCAGAAGAGAAAGACAAGAACAACTTACTTTTAAAAACTTACTTTAAAAAAATCTATATTTTCATTTTGGCAGAAAATGAGAATTATGAGAAATGCATCTTTTGAAAGCAAAGTAGCATTAATTGTTAAAATTAAAAATATACATAATCTTACAATTTAGCAATCTCATGCATGAGAATCTGTACTATGAAAAACTAAAGTTGCTACCAAGTGGCTGTTACATTACTCTACTTAACTCTCTTCAAATGACCATTATCTCCTGCATTTTTGCTATTCATATGTTGATTTACCTGTTGATTCACTAATTCATTTCTTGCCTTCTCCCACCAGACTGGGCGCTCTGTGAAAGCGAGGACCTCATCTGACTCCTTTGCCACTGAACCACAGCATCCTGAATAGTCCTTGGCGCTGAGTAGGCACACAGATTTGTTGAATTCAAGAAATAAAAGCACACATAGACTGGAAGTATATTCAAGGGTACTTAATACTGCAGTGGCACAGGACTGGATTCTCAGAAAACGACCATGACCGAGAACTGGTTGGTTGCTCCGCCCCTCACGTGGGTTTAATGGCAGGGATTTAGCCTCAGATGCGTATGCTTATCTTGAAATATACTGAACAGCTTTGGGAAGTGTGCTTAGACTCTGTGCCTTAGTGTTTCTTAGCTATTAAATGAAGACAATAGCGAAACCAATCTCATAATAACTCAGGCAGCATATCTGGGAATAATGCCTGGCACATAATAGGTACTCAGTAAATACTGGTTGGTATTATTTCACAGCATAGTAAAGAGAATGGCTCACGGGACATTTAACTTGGAGGCATTTTCAGGATGAATAATTCAGGGATTAAAATGCGATGCATACAAATGCATGTAATGGGTACTACTTTTGTAAATCAAACAATAATAAAAATCTAATGTACGTTTCTGCTTAATATGTTTGTGACGATATAAAATTATGAATGATATACATGAAGCATGAAAGTTAGGTGTGAGAAATCAAGATTGAGGAGTGGAAAAGAGGAAAAGGGAAAGTTGAGAACAAAATGACCACTATACTCATTTACCAACACATAGCTCTGATTAAAGTTACAAAATGTGTGTATAGCTACACAGTGATATCTCTAACCTATTAATGGTGGTTGTATTAGAGGTGTTGAGATTTCAGGTATATTTCTGTCTTTATACTTCAGTGTATTTGAATTTCTGACAAAAATCTCCTGGTTTATATAATCAAGAAAACCAATAAAGTGTTTCTACAGTGGGAGAAAAGAAAAAAGCGATCTCTACTCCTGTAACTCTCTGTTGAATGAAGGAAGCTTGGATAGGCCTTTCTTTTGGAAACTTCTGGCCTTTGAAGTTGTCAGAAACAGTTTCATAAGGAGTACTTGGCCCCGTGGTCTGAGTACAAGCTGAATTTATTTTACAGCAAATCACATGCCTGCACTCTCAGTCTTCGCCTGTTTTGAAAGGTGAACTCAAATCTAAGGGATTATATGAACCAGAGATACTGTAAACACAGAAAAATAGATCACATAATTCTTGAAAATGTGAAGGAGGGGCCTATCTACAGATAATCCAGCCACTGGGAGCTGTGTTAGAAATTTTCATAAAATACCACGTATGCCAAAGCCTTGTTCACAGACCTCCGTTCTCTTTGCATTCCTTGTAAGATAAGGCTGGGGGGTGTAGCTCAGTGCTAGTGTGTATCTGCGGCCCTCGTTAGATCCCCAGCACCACTGCAACCTGAAGATAAAAGTGATGAGGTTGCTCTTCAGAACCTTCTATACCTTGCTCAGTCTGCCCACCACTGGTTCTGTACACTTTTTTCCTCTTCTTTAGTCAGTGCAGACACCCCAGTGGCCACTAACCACCTCTCTTCACCTTGTTCATGCCTTTCCCCCTCCTTTCCCTTCCTTGTCCCTGAAGTCTTGGCTCCAGCCCATGTCCACTGAAAGAATTTGTGAAATATCCTGGTCCTCAGGGACTTCTCACTCCTTACCCTGCTTCTTCTACCAAGTTTGCCACCAGGTGTGTGCATGCCTCACAGTCTGGAACTTTCTGTGTGCTCCATGAAATAATCACCCGTCTTGAGATGCCAATTTTTCTCAATTTGTCAATTGGCGAACTCCTTGAACTACTTCAGTTTGGCAAATTGGAGGATAAAGTTTGTACCTTTTCTTTCTCTTATTTCCACACTTCCTAAAATGTTGCCTGGATATGGTTGGCATGCTGTAAATATTTTCTGATTGGTAGATATTTATAGGTATTTTCTTGAAAACCCAAGGTATGTAGTAATGCTATAATTAGAGTGTGTGTAGGAGCTCTTACGTAGAAACCAGTTTATTTGCATATAAGCTTATCCTAGATAAGAATTCCTTGGGTAAATACAGAAAATTTCAAGAGCCTTTCAGTTCCTGAAAAATGTGTGTGCACTCAGTGATATGCGTCTCTGTTTGTCATAGGCAGAGTAAGTGAAAAATGAATATAAATGGGAGCCAGACATTTAAAGTTTTGAGAATTGGAAACTGTGACATGTTAACAAGGCTACCAATAGCTAATCCTTATGGATTTTATTTTGAACTAGTTTGTTTCAATACTTTACGTATTTTTACTTAATCCTTAAAACAACTTGTTGAGATAGACACGCTTCTTATTGGCCCTGTTTTATAGAGGCTGAAATATACCTGAGCTAGCTCCTCCTATACTTCTGAGCTTGTCTATCAATCACTTTCCTGTGGCAGAGATAAAATATCCAACACTCACAGCTTAAAGGAGGAGAGGCTTAATTTGGCTCATGGTTGTCTCAGTCCAAGGCAGAAATGTCATGGCGAAAGGTGATGGAGAAAGGAAGCTGCTTAACCTGTGACACCAAGAATAGAGAAAAGAGGGGGCTGGAGTACAAAAATACAACTTTCTGTCTTTCTGCCCACCCACCATAGCAGTGTAGCAGTGATCCACCTTTTCTAAGCAGGTCCCATCTCTGAGCTCATGAGACTGGAGGGACACTTTAGATCTAAACCATAGCTATTTCTTTAAGCTATTTAGTTGAAATGTGAATCTTTTTTTATGATTTTTGACTTGTAATTTACCTATATGGTTATATCTGTACAAAGCACAAAGCTCACACACTCAAGTGCTTTGTAAATGAGAAGCCTGTGATTCCTCTCAAAGATGACGTTTAAAAAATACTGATTCTAGGTTAAAGAAAAATTAGTGCAACTACTCCAAAAAAGATTTTAAAGGAGATAGCTTTTTAAAGAGGCTATTTACTTTTAGTCTGAGAATTCTATCACTGCCTTTCTGTGAGAATGTTTTTAAAAGCCATTGTATGCTTCCTAAAAGAAATTCGATCTCTTTTATTAATAGTTACATCTGGTTTTAAACCAAAGACAGCTTTGTTATCTATCTCATTCAAATTGTCTTGGCTGTGTGCATAATTTTACTCTGCAAGGCTGAAGATTTGCTATTGGCAAAGGGAACTTGAAATAGTTTTCTAATGTATCTAAAGGGTATTTCAAGATAGGTTTTCCAAAAATGTCAACCTCGTGTTACCTAAATTCTGAAAAGATCAAGCGATCATCCAAGGTCATACAGTTATCCCATCCAGAGGCAGGATGAGAATCTTGGGCTTTGAAGTCCAGGCACTGTGATTGCTGATAGAGTACACTAGCACAGGAGGTGGTGGTGGTGGGGTGCTTGGGAGCTGCCCCTAGGAATGATCTTGAGAAAGGAGAGCTGTCTTTTGAGAGGTGGAGATGAGGACATAAATGGAAGTCTTTCCTTTTTTGAGAACAGCAGGTAAAGTTTCTGAATGTTGAGAGTTAGAAGACTAATTGGTGTTTGTAGTCTGCTTAGCTGCTCTGGGTGGGTGATGGAAGTTGCTGGATTTATGTTATGCTTCTCTATAAAAAGAGGAAATAACAATTTCCTATGAGCCAGATTTATGGATTTGAATGCTCAGAAGCTCTGTCCGAGTTTTGCCTGCTAAATGCTTTAGCATAATGCTCATCATTACGCTGTCTAACATGTAAGTACTTACTGTATGTCAGGAATTGATTTGAGTGTCTTACATGTATAGCTTCATCTCATCCACATGACAGCCTATTGAAGTAGTAAGATTACACAACTTACTCTAATTTGGCTGATGTGAAGCTGTTCTTAAGAAACTGGCCTGGCATTCAAACCCAGGCAATTTGGCTTCAAAGTCTAATCAATTACAAAAAAATTCTAGCCAGTTTCAATTATACACACACAAAAAAGGGTGAATAGTACAATGGACAATAAACTCCATTTACCCATTTTCCACCAAAAATAAGGAATACTCACCATCAGTTCTGTTCTATCTGTATCTCTCTCTGCTTCCCAGTTTTCCCAGTGCCATCCCCAGATTATTTTCAAGAAAACACAGCCATCCTATGATAACCACAACTATTTTAGTAAATATTATTGGGGGAAAAGTTTTTTAAAAAGCATCTTCAGAGCTGATACAGTGTCTGTTTTTTCCTCCACTTTTTTTTTTTAAACAGTAGCAGGTTTGGTGATGATTGTCTAGCTCTGTGATATTCTAATTCTGTTATTTTCATCTCATTTTATTTGCTGGAATACTTTATAGCAACTATTTGGTTATCCTGCTGCACAGTTTATATAAGGAAGGCCAGGTAGATGATTTTTTAAAAAATAGTTTGAAGGAGTTGACTTCTTAACATCAGCTGAAGTCAATCACTTTGTTTCTGTATGTTGGCTTTAAGATCCAATCAATTTGTCTTTAAAATGAACTGTCACCTGGTTCCTGGTTCTTTTCTCTCTGGCATTCTTCCTCTGTGTTTTGTCTCCCACGGTGGTGAATGAGAAACTTTTCTCAGTCATGCCTTTCTGCCATGACGTTTCTACTTTGGAACCATCTGACCATGGACTGAAACCTCTGAAACTGTGAGTCAAAATAAAATCTTTTCCCTTTGTCGGTGTTATGTATTTTGTCCCAGCAACTGGAAACTGACCAAAGCATTGTCCCAGATGATAGGATTTCCTTCTTTATAGCCAAATAATAGAGCATTTTGTATATGTACCACTTTAAAAATCCTCCATCTATTGGTGGATACTTAGGTTGACCCTGCAGCTTGCCTATTGTGCATAGTACCACAGTGATCGTGGGAGTATGGATATTTCTTCAATTCCACGTCTTTTGGATACTCTCCCACTGTTGGGATCACTGGAGCATGATTTCTAATTTTTTTCTATTTCTAATTTTTCTATTTCTATTTCTATTTCTATTTCTAATTTTTTTCAAGCACCTCTCTCCTGACTTCCACAATGGCTCCACTGATTTCCATTCTCACTTATGACGTATAAGGTTTTCTTTTCTCCACAGCCTCGCTAGCACTTGATATATGTCATTTTTTGATGATGTCTTTAATTTTGTTTTAAAGTTATGTAAAATAAGTTACTTTCAGAGAAGATGACCACCTGTTTTCCCTTGTCTCATAAGTAATTTTTTTATTTTATGATTTGTTTTTGTAGAATGAAAAATGTATATGGATGTATTTTCCCAACAGCCACACTCTTAGGTAAATATTAGCTTACCATACTGATTTGTTGCCATTTTCTTAACTATACAATTCTGTTTCAGTGTTCACTCTTTTTTTTTCCTGTGTTTTTTGAGACAGGGTCTCACTAAGTGTTTCAGGCTGGCTTTGAACTCATTTTGTAACCCAGGATGACCTCAGACTTGCAGTGACTCTCTTGCTTCAGCTTCCCAAGTGCTGGGATTATAGGTATGTACCACCGTGCCCAGCTTTCAGTTTTACTCTTCAAGGGTATATGTAGCCACTAATTTTAGAAAATCATGTGCTTATCTGATACCGACATTACCAATATACCTGTATTGGTCCCCTGGTGTTGTGTCTTTATCTATTTATTTATATCACTTAAAGTATAAATCTACCCTTTTGAATTCAAGTATCAGTTTTTGCACATGACTTCCAAGTATTCATCTTCGGCTCAGGTGTCGATTATAACCACCTTGAACCCCACTGCCTCAAACAAGATGCATCATCTATATCTTGCATTCAGTGTGAGAATATCTGCCCCACTATATCCTTCTGCTTTCTACTTTATTATCATTCTTCCGTGTTTAAAGTCACTGATGCTATATTGATTTTTTAGCTCGGGGCTATCTAATTTGACAAGGTTTTCCAAATTAGATATTGATTTACCTGGGGTCATGTGAAAACCTGACATGACAAATGTAAATACCCCAAGAAAACTCTACAACACAAGCAATTTATCTTTGTGCCCTTCCCATTGAATACACTAAAGATATTAAAAGCATATTGAAAGATATTGAAGAGCCAAAGTGACTATTTGGAAGAAACATTGAATGTGTGGAATAAAGCAAATAAAATGATTTTAAATCCGCTACAATTGCATTGGACTTAAATTGAAACTGATTTGATGGCAGATGTGCTCTTAGGAGAGGGTGCTGAGGTGTGAGAGAGGCTGAAGCCACATCCCAGCAGACTCTGTGAAGGGACAGTTGTGAGGCCTTCTGGCCTCGAAACATCTCTCTTGGGAAGCTGAAGCAGGACCAGTAGTGACAGAAATAAGTCATCCAGGGTTCTGTAGGGAAGCAGTGCCACTCTGAGCGTGGGTCGAGGTATTTATTGCATGAATTGAACCTTACTTAGTTGTGGGAGGAGAGGGGAAAGCAATGCTTGCAGAGGAGAGCTGGAGGATTGGAGAAGGAGTCGCAGGATGACTGAAGCTCTGGCCCAGATGGGCAAGTCCGAGCTTGCAGAGAAATCTGAGAAGATGAAGTCATTAAGCTGATGCCTTGGACTGGGAAGGGGAGATGGTGGAGAGTCTGCAGGGTGTTACCTCTAATAATTACATCAAGCCTCTGACCAAAGGTCTGCTGATTGGGAAGAGCTAATTGTAGAAAAGACAGCCCTGGACCTGACCCAGGCCCCTTTGCTTCTTTCTGTCACTATGTCTGACAATGACACATTTTCACTCTTGTCTCAAAGCTACCCTGAACTATTTATTGGCAGCTCTAGTTACAACCTATAGGAAAAGGAAATCTGAAAAATGTAGATGCCCAACTAACTAAATTGACTACTGCACCACATTCTTACCACAGTAAGAGGCGGGACTTATGTTCTGTAAAAGGAAGAAATACAAGAATGATTTCTAATTTGTTTAAGTGTGAGCTACCCTCAAAGACTATAAGGGAATGTGTGCTTGGTGGGCAAGTTAGATTTAGGCTTGAACTTCAGGCTATATTATCATTATTTTTAGGCGAGTATCAGGTGTCTGCTTGTAACGTTAATGGATAATTAATGAGCATTTCTTCATTTGGGAAAAGCCAGATGTCTTATCCTCTTTGAGATTGCCTTTTGTAAGACTAGTAACTGAAACTTTATGTTCCTGGCTAGGATGGATGGCCTAGAGAAAAAGCTATGCCAACATCTCCAAATGACCTTGTATGTATGCACATGCATATACTCCCACCTGCATGTGTGTACTCCCACCTGCATGGGAATAGTTGTATCCGTGTGGAAACAACTACTGTTATAGAAAAAGGTCAAGGTAGTCTTAATCAGCATCCTTGGATGCCTGTCCAAATAGAACAGGCAATAGAAATAGCAGAGGCTACTGTGGACATGAGGGTTGTAAACACAGCCCAAGACTAAGTGTGTTATCTTGTATGCTTCATTTGGAGTGTGTTTCATGCCATCCCTCTGGGGGGTAAAACCAAATCCCTCCATTTATACTTTCCAGCTAGGTAGTAATGGGCCACAGAAATAGGAAGTTGGGGGAACAGTGCACCCTTTGAATTAAGGGAGCAGGTATTTACTTTCATTGGCCCTGGTGCCAGCCCAGTCCAGGGAGCTAGGTGAAGTGTCTTTGATGCTTTCACTTCATGGAAGTCCATAAATACAATTTGGTGTATTTATGGAAGTCCATAAATACAAAGGACCAAACTAGTTTGGGAGCTAACTCACCTGTAATGTCTTGATGAAGATTTTCTTCAACAGAAATGGAAGACACTCTTTTGCTCAGGTAGAAGAGCCAGCTATTAGCTTGCCTTAAACTGTTTACACTTGGAATGTGTTTGTAGTGTGTTAATAAGTCAAAAGGCCTTTGCTTTTCCTCGTTATTTCCTATAGCTTCAGACTTAACTGCTGAAAGAAGATTGGAGTTTTCTGGTTTATATATTCTCTGATGCAAATCTCCCCAAGGTGGTTAGGATTGGTGTGGGACATAAACTCTGGGGTTGGAAGGAACCTGGAGATGTCTTTCAGAAAAACACTGAAATCTTCAACAAGAGAGAGTCCTACTTAAAGATATTTTGACACATCAGAGGCTGTTAGAATTGTTCATTTTATTACTTTGATCCACATGAATTTGCTAATTTTATGTATTAAACAGGGCTAAAGATTGGCTATTTCCTATTGTTAAGCCTGTAATTCAAAGATGTTCGACAGTTGTCCAAGGCTTTAAGGGATCTGAGTTCTCATGAGTGCAAAATTAAGAAGGTATGTGATTAAATAAAATTGTTACAAAGCATATTAGTCCATTTTCCATTGCTGGAACAAAGTACCCGAGTGTGAGTATAAAGAAAAGAGATTTAGGGGCTGGGGATTTAGCTCAGTGACATAAGCGCTGGCCTTGGAAGCAGGCAGTCGTGAGTTTGATCCCTGGTACCAATAAAAAGGAAAAAGACAAAAAAAAAAAAAAAAAAAAAGAAAAGAAAAGAGATTTATTCAGCTCACAATTCTAGTGTTTCAAGAGCACATTGCTGTATTTTGCTTGGCTCTGCTGAAGTTTTATGGGACATGAAACCACAGTGATGGGAGTAAGTGTGAGAAAAGAGAGCACATGATGACACAGAAGCCAGAGGATGGGAGGTGCCAGTCTTGCTATTCTATAACTCACACTTGCAGGAACTAATTGGAGTCCCATGGGAAATGCCTAATCCTTTCTGGAGATGATGACCCAGTCACCTGCGCTTTTTATAGGTTCTACTACCTCTGAGCATTGCCATACAGAGGACCACACTCCATGTGCCATGAGCCCTTAGAGGATGCACTCAAACCAGATCCAAATCATAGCAGAAAGGGCTGAATAAGTGCACTGTACTAGTGAAGAAAGTCAGAAAATCCTGATTTTAGATCCCAACCCTACAATCTTACAGTTTTTGTTCCCTTACTGTTTGAAAACATATCTTCTCAAGATTCTTAGGATGTTCATTGGAAAGTGACTTTTGTGCCCTTGTACCTGAATGTGTCCCTGTAAACAGAATAACAATTAAATCTTACAGAGTATCTTGATAATAATGCAAAAAAAAAAAAAAAGCATATAACCTTCAGTATGTGGTGATGCTGAGATCTGTGCTTAGGTTGTCCTAGGCATATTTAGATATTTAGTTTTATAAACTAATTCAGAGGAAATGGGGCAGGGACATACACAATTTATATAATTCTTAAGAAGTTAGATATTCCTTTTACTCTATATCTTAGTCTCTTTTATGTTGCTATCGTCATACCTGGGTGATTTATAAAGAGGTCTGTTTAGCTCACAGAGGCTAAATATCCAAGATCAGGCAGTCACATCTACTTGGCTTCTGGTGAGGGCATCAGGCAGCTAAAGTTCATCATGGAAGCAGAAGAGCAAGCAGCAGTATGCAGAAGAAAGAGAAAAGGTGCTGAGTTCCTGTAATAGCTCACGCATTCCCACAGCAAAGCACTAACCCATTCATGAGTTGGGATGCTTTAGAACAGTAGTCTCCAACAGTTTTGGTACCAAGGACTGGTTTCATGGGAGAAAATGTTCCAATGGATAAGGGGAGGAGTGGGGTACAGGTGGGACTGGACATGATAATGACTTGGGGGTGATTCAAAGGAACACACAACCTAGATCTTTGCACACATAGTTTAAGGTAGGGTTGATGTCTACCCCACTGCTGATCGGACAGGAGGTGGAGTTTAGCTGGTAAAGTGAGCATCTGTAACTACAGATGAAGATTTATCCACTGGCCTACCACTCACCTCTTGCTGTGCAGGTCTGTTCCTAGCAGGCCAGCAACCAGGATTTGGGGACCTCTGCCTTGGACCACAAATGCCTTGTAACAGCCCCACCAACTCTCAACACTTTCACTGGGACCAACCTTAAACAAGTATTTTAGTATACACCATATTCAAATCATAGCATTATGCAAAGTCTAACTTTTTGATAAATTGGATGTTTGGGTCACCTGGTTAGGTCATAATTGTTTGAGGAACTGACTTAGAACAGAAATAATGGTAAATGTGATTCGAGTAAGTTTTGTTGGATCATCCTAAAAGTGTATTTTTTTCGAGTTGTGCTATTCAGTGGAATAATGTTTTTCCACTTAAAAGGGCTCCTCTCCACCCCCAACATTGTCAAATAAACAGTGTATTCTCATTACTCCTCAGGGAGGTTTGAGGGTGCTACTCTATTTCATGGGCAGCAGCAGCAAAGTGCCAGGAAGGTTCCACCCTCCACCCCGGCCTCCACTTACTCCTTTTCATGTACTGCCCCTTTGCCTGTATCATTATCCCACCAAACTGTTCCATTCCAACACACTTTCAGTGTTGGAATGTCCCAAAGGCTGTGGGTGTATCAGATGGTAAATTCCTTGAAGGTATGATTTGTGTCTTGGGAAGGCAGGGTATGTGTTGGCAGACGTGTGGGCTTTGGGGTAGAGATGCCTGAATTCAAACTGTAGCTAATTTGGCCGCAATCTGTGTATGTGACCTAAGAGATCTGCTTAATTGCTCTAACTTTGTTAATCTACCTGAAAGAATAGAAATAATTATAACTCACTCACGAGTTCCACGGAGACTGAATGCGGTGGATGGGAAAGCACTTTGGGCTGAATGCCTGGTACCACATCCGTTACAGAGGCTGACTTCTTTGCTTCGTCTCAACTTTCTTGTAAGACATTGTACACAGCAGACATTTCTTTGGGTATGTTAGTTACATTAAAGTGGTTTCTTTTTGAGGATGTAGTGAAAACTTTTCATATCGGTAGCAAGTTATTTTCAAGTCACAGGATGGGTTGCTTGAGGAACACTTACTGGCACTTCTTTGCCTCCTCCGTAGTCAGAGGCTAATTCCAACCATCTCCTGTGGACTTGGGTTAAGTCAACCCCAGAGGAGAGCCTTCCCCATGTACCTTTATTTGAAGGTTACTTTTATGGGCTTGTAGAACTTTGTGTATTGAATTCTCCAGTCAGTGCTAGTATAGTTTTAAATGTTTGGAGCCAATGAAAGCTTTTAGAAATAAAACTGTCTTGGGTAGTATATGGCAACTTCTCTTTGAGTAATAGATGGTTTAAAATTTGATCTTTTACTTTTTTTGCCTATAGATTCTTTGCTCACATTTAATAATGGCAGGTTTTAGTTTTTAAAAAACTCCTGTAAAGTTAAAAAAAATGAAACAAGATAATATGCCTTTGCAATTGCTTTACCAGGGTTTCAGAAAAACAAAAACAAAAAAAACAAAAACAACTAAGTTTCTTTGTCGAATGTTTGGAAAATACAACTTTTGGATAGGTTTTTGGGAGACGTGTTTTGCATTAAAATACCAAATAAAACAAAATGATGAATTGTTTTTGGCACCACTTAAATTGTACTTATATGATGAGAACTGCACATAAAAGACAGCCAGTTACTGTCATAGTTGACAGATTTTTGAGTACTATCTACTTGTTCAGTATAGTAAAATCCCAGGGGTGAGGAGCTATTCCAAAATTCTTATGTCAAGAAAGATGCAACTTTTTGCCATAGCAGTGATTGACATTGCCCTTCTATAGCTATCTGTAAATTATGCTCCCCCTTGGCATGTCGTATTAGTTTCTGTTACTTTCAGTGTAACGCCTTCTTATTGATGCGAGGTGGGTTTTTTTAAGTAAGTTTTAAAGTTGCCTTTCAGTATTGGTCAGATTTCAATAGGCGATTAAGTGCACAGGTTTTCAAGTAGAACAGGTAGCTTGGGTAAAGAGAAAATAAAGCAAAGCATGTTCTCGGAAAAGCAGGGTGCTACATTTACTTGGAGTACAGCTTTTATCTACGGGTTCTCTCAAAATGAATATTGGAAAAGGATTTGAGGGGCCTATTTAGAAGGCTTTGCGTTCCAGAATGTATTTAAATTTTGGCAACGTGAATCAGCTTTAATCTGATGAAATACAAGTTGGAGAAAGTCAAAAGGAGTCTATTATAATGATCTGGCAGGAAAGTGATGATGCTTCGGTTGGGTGGAGGTGAGGGAAGAAGCACTTGGGGACACACTACCTTCATTCTGCCCCGTTAGACTTCATACAAGAGACAGGTGTCACTCATGGAGCCAACCTGTAAATCGATGTAAACCGATCACATAAATATACAGACCTGATCATAAGTCCAAAGCTAATGAGGAAGAAATGTTTTCAACACTTATTCATGTTTGATAGGTAGCTGTATGAGAAGTTGCCTCTAAACTTCACGTATCTGGAGAGGTTTAACTGAAAGATGATTGTTGAAGCTGGTCAATGCCTAACATTTTATTCAATATTTCAGTCTTTAACATTATCGCCCTTTCATAAACTTTGTTTTTTTGTACTAGAGATCGAACTCACAACCTTGCCCTTGCCAGGCAGGTACTGAGCCACTGAGCTAAATCCTGGGCCCCACACACATGCTTTTTAATTCATTAATCTTTCTAAGAGCTCTTTAAGGTAGCTCCTGGTAGCTTCATTTTGTAGAAAGGGAAACATTAAATGGTAAAGTAAGTTGCTCAGAACATAAAGGTGACAGAATCCAGATTTCCTCGCTGTCTGTGCTGTACTTAATGACATGTTAATTTGCAATGCAATGAAAACAATTTTAATGAATGTGGCCTGTTTATCTCTTTCATAAAAGTAATGCTAAAACTCCACTGGCCCTCTTTGTTTCCTACTTAAGCCTCTAAGGACAGTGTGAGAACTGCTTCCTAAAGTGCTTATACACTGTTTTTGGCACTGGCTTAAGTGGGGAATGTAGGCATGTTTGGATTAAACATATCGAATGAACCTCTATAGCACTTCCAATGAACGACAGGTCAGAACCTTTACGTGCTGAGTAAATGTTAGCTGAAGAACGTTCCAGGGAATAAGAAAGATGCTTAAGAATTTACCTAAAATGGAAAATTAAATGACCCCCTAGTGGTTGTACTTTTCTAAGTACCTCATTTAGGGCAAAGCTCAGAAGAAAACTTAGTTCCTTGAGATTTATTGTATATAATATGTGATATGTTATTTGAGACAAATTGAAGTACTCTATTTCTTGAAATGCTTATTTCTGGTATCACCCATCTTTGCACACAAATAGTTTTCAATATAAATTATAGTTCAATTCCTGAGTTTCAGCTGAGTTCACAGAAATAGGGTTTAAGTGCATCAGTCAGTTGCCTATAGGAAACATCTGACAGAGCCCTGATTTTGATGATTAGATTCAAACTTCTACCCTGAGTCTAAGCCAGAGCCTGCTGCTACAGTGGTGGTGGTGGCCGTGAGAAGAGGACCTTGTGAATGAGTATCTGTTTCGTGTTGGGTAAATATTAGCTAAGTATGACCAGTGAAGGAACTGGCAGTTTTAAAACATGGTTGCAAATGGAGGGAGAGGTGGGGTCTTGGCCTGTCTCCTTGAGTCTGGGAGGGCTTATGACTGATTTAAAAAGCCTATGACAGAAACAATGATGTGTGACTCTCAACACTATGTGTGACTCTCAGAAACTGGGTGGTTTCTGTTTGTTCATTACAGCATTTGCCCTGGGTTCCTGATCTGTCATGTAAGAGGTGACCACTCTGTAAGAGGTGTCATCTTAGGTCTCAAATAAATATTCAAGGTGACAGTTCCTGCTGAGCTCAGCTTTCCAATTATTCCTGTGAAGGGTTTGCTAGTGGATTTGGAAATAAAGCTCTTGTGAATCCTTCAGAAAAACCTAGTCGCTGGTTGCATGCCAATGAATTACCTGCTCAGAAGGTTACACAGCACAGGAATTAATAGCTGAGTCCTGCCTCTGTTAAGGACCCACAAAACATAGTTGTTACTCTAAGGAACGAAATTTGGAGGTAGTCTGTCATGCAAACTGGAAATAAGTAAGTTAAGCAGAATTTGGTATCAGAGGTGGGAAAAACTGTCAGAAATCTTTAAGCAATAACTGGTGAAGTAATTACGCATATGATATCAAGAGGATCTGTCCACTGATCTGAAAATGCCTGAAAGTGTGTGTGTGTGTGTGTGTGTGTGTGTGTGTGTGTGTGTGTTGGTTATGTAACATGCAAAGGCCAGCCCTAAAGTGAATTATTGTGCAGATGATTTGTCTTCTTCCTTTCTTGCCTTCTACAATATGATTTAGAATATCCTTGCTACTCAGAGTATAGTTCAAGTGCCAGTGGCATAGGTTTCTCTTGGGGCTTTGTTAAAAGAGCAGACCACAGATTTTGAATCAGCACCCACATTTTGGCAAGATCCCAGGAGGTGTTGAACACATTTATGTTGAAACATAACTGTTCTCAGCATTGTTCTTCACTATTACTATTGTTTTTCCTACAGTCACTACCTCTGAAGACCTAAGGAGAGTTGCTTCTTGCTGTACCATGTTATACATACTGCGGTAGGTATACAGTTCCATTCTCATAACACTGCAACATAGATATCATCACCCTCACCGGATACTGAGGAAACTGAGGCTTAGACTTCAAGAAATGTATCTGAGCCCTCATAGCTAATGAGTACGAGTGACAGAAGCAGAAGCCAACCCTGGAAGATGTGACTTCATGTATGGTGCGGTTGTGAAGTTTGCTGAGTGTAATGAAATACTTGAGATAAGTCAACTTATACAGAGAAAAGGTTTATTTTGGTTACAGTTTTGGAGGTTCTGGTCCCATAAGCATTTGGCCCTGTTGCTTCTGGGCCAGTAGCCAGGCAGCACATCATGACAGAAACATGGGCAAGAGCACGAAGCCACCCATTGCAAGGCTGGGACATGAATGGGAGAGGGAAGAAGGGAGGAGGGACCCAATCTGGTGCCCAATAATTTTCAAATACAACCCACCTCTTAAAGGTTCTGTCACTTCCCAACAGGTCCATGGGCTGGGTACCGTGTTTTTAGTACACGGATCTTTGGAGAGTACCAAACCAAACTATAGTGCTAAAGCCTCCAGATTTCCCTACAGATTTGCCTTGACATAGAGTTGAGGTTTGAGCTCTGACTCCAGGGCCATGGTGACTATTATACTATTTTATTCTAAGAAATAGAATGGTAAAGATGTTCTTACTATGCAATACTCATTGCTGCTCTAGAACTAATTTTAGCTGATTTAGTCAAGGAACAAACATTAAAAAGATGTTGAGGCTGGGTGAGGTGGCACATGCCTGTAATCCCAGTACTCGGGAGATCGACATAAGAGAACTGCTGTAAATTTGATGCTAGCCCGGGCTCAAATTAAACCCAGCCTGAACTGCATAGTGAGACCCTGTCTCAAAACAAAACAAAACAAAACAAAAAAAGATAGATATTAGAAAGCTCACACAGACCTGTGAATGCACTTCTGGGCTGCCAATCGCATGTTCTAATACCTGACATGTATGACAGGAAGCCTTTGAAATATCAGCATGTGACTCTTTTGTAAAAATGCATGTGAATTTTTTATAAAAATGCATGTGACTTTTTTGTAAAAATGCATGTGACTTTTTTGTAAGAATGCATGTTTTCTGTTACAGTTTTTATTCAAAGAAAAATTATATACATATATATATATATATTTAAATATATATATACACATATTTCATTTCTTCCTCTAAAGACCTGGATCCTGTCTGGGAGCTTTTGCCTTGGCTACAGCTAGACTGGGATCCAACCTCTCATGCCTCACAGGAGGCTACATGGCCTCTGCTGCTTCCCGACTGGGCACTCAGTGTGAAGTCCTGGTCTGGAGCAGGTGATTTCATCAACAGAGCATGGTCCTGTGTCACTCTAATGCCAGGATGATGACTTGGAAAGCAAATATCAGGCACTTTTATCTTCTATAATTAGGACAAGTGTTTCAGGGTCTGGGAGGCCAAAGAATGACTAATTCCACACTGTTTCTTAGTTCCTGTATACTCTTTTTTTTTTTTTTTTTTTTTTTTGTTAAGCAAAATTTGCTCACCCTTGAAGGTTCCATTTGTATCTCCTTGCCCTGTGAAGTTTTCATGGGAGTCCTCCAATTTTTGGTTTCTCCTCTGAACATTTCCTACGGCCAAAATGAGATGTCAGAACATATTTGTATATTGGCCTCAGGTCATTATACTTGAACCTTATTGTTCAAGAATTTTTATAATTAATGTAACACTGGTGCTGCTTTCAAACAGTTAGAAGGGAAGCAGTTTACAAACAGAAATAAATCTGAGAGAACAGATTCTTCTCTTTCTACCCAAATCCATTCCCTGGTTCTGCTTTTGGTCTTTATCTAGTAGTTTGATTTGGTTTTTACATTTCATGTTATTTTCTTGTCTCTTTAACTAGAATAATTACCCGCTGAGGGCAAAAATCATACCGAATACTTATTCTATGTTATTCACCATATGGACAGTACATATTTATTGATTAGCTGAGGACAAATATGCCTGAAAAATCCAACCCTTTATGACATATTTGGAACCTCTGATCCAAATAGTTACTCATTTGATGTTAGATTATGTCATTTGTAGAAACAGTAATAAAACATCTTCTTTTCCTGTAAAATCTTCCCTTCAATAGAGATTGACAACAGAACACTTTATTATGGGATTGATGATCCTCTTAGGAATGTTAGGTTCAAGCTCCCTCATGGTAAAGCATCCTTTATACATGTCTACAAACAAAGGTTGACTGCATAATCCTTTAATATGCTTTTCACAGGCTGAGTTCAGTGTAGTCTGCCGCACATTTTCACTGCTGAACAGCTTACCTGGTAGAGATCACACCAGGCCTAATAACTGATATGTATAACGGAAGTCATTTGAAAGACCAGTACTATATATGATTAATACATGCAAAAATGCATGTAGTGCCTATTTTGATTATGGTTTTCTTTCAAAGAAAAATTTAATGATAAATCTTTTTTTTCAGTGATATGGGGAATGTTCATGTCTTCTAGATCAAGTCTCTCTATGTAATGTAGTTAAGTGATGTCCAAATCCCCATGTGATGTACTCATGGGGGGGCTATAGCTGATATAAAGTCATCTCATTTGAAGATATAAAGCTACTAATCTACATTATTTATAGATTTAAAGCCTCAAAAGCTGTTTTCAAATGAACTACTCTCTTCTCTTTTTCATTTTGCAATATTTCTTGGATTGGGAAAATATTTGCAATTTACATATTCGGTAAAGGGCATAGTTGGGGGGGTATCCTTGATATCAATAACAAGAAAACTATCCCCCCAAATGAATGAAATATTTAAATACACAATTTACCAACAACATAGAGTTGGTCAAGAAACCCAATAAAATACACTTAAAATTATTTAGTCTCTAGGGAACGCATATTTAAACCACAGTGAGATACCAATATACACTAAGAATGGCTGAAAAAAAAAAGAAACTGAAAGTAGGTAGTGTGGCTAAGAATATAGAGAAACTGGAATTCATGCAAAGTTGGTGAAAATGAGAAATGGAATAGCCTCTTGGGCAGTTTCAGTTTCTAATCAAGTGAAATGTGTGCTTTCCTTAGGATGTAACAATTAGATTCGTAGTTATCTATCCAAAGGAAATAAAAACATGTTCATTTTTAAAAACAGCTTGAATGTTAGTGTTTATAATTGCTTTATTTACATGGCTCCACACTGGAAGCAACCCAGATGTCTCTCCACTGAGGAAGAGGCAAATAAACCGTTGCCCATTCCTAAGCAGAATGAATGCCCCTCAAGTCATACAAAGGGAGAGTGACTGCCACAGTAAAAACGGGTGGATCTCAAACGCACTGTACTAAGTGAAAGAAGCCTTACTCAAAAGACTTGTAAACTGCGTGATATCATTTATACAATGTGCAGGACTCTATAGGAACGTAAAGCTGTGGTTTGTTGGGCTGAGGCTAAAGACCAGCAAACTGGGGTACACTTTGGAAAGATGAGATTATGGAGGTGTCAGTTACATGATTATGAATTTGTGAAAGCTCGTAGAACTATATTAAAAGGGGAGAATTTGACATGTAAGTTTATACTTTAAAAACTATTAAATTTATCATAGGACTGAGGTAACTGCTAAGCATTGAAAATACAGACATTAATAAAAAGGTCTCCCGAGCTGCGGAAGTAGATATGAAGGGACATAGATAACTACACAAGCGAGGCCGTATTTATAATATAGGCATCACAAGGTGCTAGGGTAGCATTAAAAAGTTTGCAGTAAACTCTGACACGTGTGTGGCTTATGTTGTGGGCGTGTAGGGGCCAAGGAGACCCTCATCAGGAAGTGATGATCCAGAGGTGCAAAAAAGTCACCCTTAAGTTCATATAATTTAAGAAGGGTGCAGGAGAAGGGATCAGGAACAGAGTGAAAGAGGAGCTTATCCAAAAGAAATAGGAAAAATGGAACTATGAGTTTTTAAATAAAGATGCCTGTTAGAATATGTTTATCCCAAGAAGCAGCAGCACAAACATTATCAGACACATGCAACATGGTGTTTTTTTTTTTTTTTTTTTTTTTTTTGGTCTTAGCTACTGGGCCTCAGCATCAGGGCTTCCTGGTTATCCATCCTGGGACTAGAAGGGCACACCCTGCCTTAGCCCGAGGCAAAGAGATAATCACAGTCTGCTCGCCTGGCAGCCAGCCCTCTGGAAGGGTTTATGAGGAGGAAGTCCACAATTACATATTTCTGGGCAAACATTAACCAAGATTGAAACCCAGATTTGAAGAAAAATAACAGGCTGGAATCGTCAGCCGTCCACTGACGCTGTGCTGTGGACTGAAAACAGTGGTCCGAGGCTCCACTGATTCCCGAAAGCTGGGCAAAGTCCTGAGCAGCCAGCACCTTCCTGAAATGTGGTGAGGCGGCTTTGTCCGGCGCGCGCACGGTGCGAAACCGAGCACCCGGGACAGCGCCGAGGAAGCCACAACACTGGGCCTATTGTTCCTCCGTCCCGATGACCGAATCTATTTATTATCCCTGCGGTTCAGGAGCTCGCCGGCCGCCGCCGCGGGGAGAGGCCTACTCCTGGCAACGGCGCCCAGAGCGCCTCAATCACGGTTACTACAATCGGAACAGTTTGGGTTCCTCGCTGTGGTTTTGTAATTTCCATTTTTAAAACTCCTTGGGCTGAACCCTGATGTGCCCAGTCTAGATGGGGCATACTTAAAATGAAACTGTTGAGCTAAAATTAGCTTGACATCGAGACCGAGCGCGCTCCTTTTCCTGCTATTTGGGGCTGACCGCAGTCACCGCGCAGAGGGCGCTGCGCGCAGGGGCGGGGCGGGGCGGGGCGGGGCGGGGCACGCGGGCCTCCGCCGCGCAGGCGCAGACGGGCCGGCCGGGCAGGACTTTGCACCGCGCAGCTGTTTACTCTTCAGGGCTCCTGCAGTTAATCATGAGTGATGGGACCTTTTCTCCGGGTTTGGCTTGGGGGCCCAGAATCTAGCTTACATCACCACAGAGGAAGTGTATCTAGCAAAGCTTCCTCTGCGAGTTTCTTCACCAGGGCACTTATCTAGGGCACAGCCAGCCAGCCAGCGGGTGAAGATAAATAGACTCAGTGCGCCCTGAGGTACAGAAAAGAGATTCGGGTGAGAGTCAGAAGAAATGCGTTTTTAGCTTAGTGTTTGTTTCTAGCTTGTGTGCTTGGGGCTCAGTTTCGTCTAGTAAATTCAGAGGGCTGAGGTAAGATGCTTCGAGTTGCAAGTTCTGGTGTTTTTTCAGCTGTTTTGAGGGAAGAAAGATAATTTTCATTCTCATTATATATGGAACAACTAGGGAAGAAAGAAAGAAGACCTTCTATTCACCCCATGTAATCAATATTTCATTTCATCTTTTTTGTGCAGTACTGAGGATTGAACCCAGGGCCTTCCCGCTGAGCTACATTCACTGAACGCTTTTATGTTTTAATTTTGGGAGGATCCTCAGCAGGTCACTAAGTTGCCCAGGCTAGGCTCAATTTTGTGATTATCCTACCTCAGATTGCCAGGGTGTGGAATTACTGGCATGTGCCACCAAGCCTGTCTTTTTTTTTAAATTTCATAATACCATATGGGGGTCAAGTGTGTCAGGAGAATAGCAGTGACTTGGAGGCCAGCTTGGGCTATAAAAAGAGTTCGAGGCCAGCCTGAACTACATGATGAAACCCTGTCTTAGATAAAACAAATCAAAACAATATCATGTGGAAAATAGCCATACTTCAGGGATAAAATTTCATGTGAGACAGTGTACATTATCTTTTATGTAGCATTTGCTTCGCACTTGTACGTAAAGTATTTTTGGCTGTTTCATGTTATTCCAGTTGTGCTATGATTCATTTGGGTAGAGAGTTAGTTAAAGGAAAGGTGCAAGACTTTTCTGTCATAGGCTGTGCAGTCATTTTTTCTTTTTGATTTTGCTAGTTCAATTTTTGAAGTAACAGTCTGTGTCAAGGAGGAAGTCTTGATAAATTATTAGAATGCATTTTCATTGTCTTTCCCTGAATATTCATTATGTTGTGTTTACTAAGGAAAAAGACTGTGGGAAGCAGATGCCCTATAATTTTGTGAATAATCAAAGATATAGAGAAGAGGCAAGTAAGAGAGATACGGGGACCTCAGACAGATGAGGGAGACTAAAGAGGAGATGAATGGATTTACAAAAAGACACCACATTCTAAGCTCATTGGATTATGCTGTGGCTTTTTATAGACCAGAACTCTCTGTGATAGTTACCATTTATATGGTGACTCCTAAAGAGTTTCAAACTTTTCCCATAAAGGGTGAGGTAGTAACTATGTTTTGTGGACTTTATGGTTTTTCTTTTGAGTCCTCCCCTCTGTTTTTGTAACACAAATACAGATATAAACAATATGTAAATGATATAAACAATATGTAAATGAATGGGCATGGTTTTTCAATAGACTTTGTTTTCAGGAACAGAAAGCAAGCTGGATCAGACCTGTTGGGTCACAGTTTGCTGCACCTTGGAACAGGCTTATTGCAGCCCCACTATCAACATCAGTATCAGCCACTGCACCCCTGTTATTTAATCTGTGGTAGAATTGGGATCAAGAGAAGAGGAAGACAGAAACTCAAGCACCTATGGCCCACAAGCCAGCCTCAAACTTATTTGTCAGAAAAAGACCAGTTTTTAAAAGAGAAAACTATGATAGTGTGAAGGTCAAGGCAGAATGTTTCTTGATCCCTCAGTTGTAACCCAAGTGTTTGTGTCTAGAGAATAGATTTCTTTTTAAATTATCAGCTCGCTTTTTTTTCCTTTTTCTTTGTGTTGGGCATCAAACTCATTACCACATACTTGCCAGCAGATGCTGTGCTGCTGAGCTACATCCCCAGCCAGCTGCTTTTTATTTTTTTCAAACTATCATATTAGCTTTCTCATGGTCAGGATGAAATACCTGATACCCACAATTTAAAGGAGGAGAGGATTCATTTGACTCACAGGTTTAGGATTTCAGTCAATGGTTAGCTGGCTGCGAGGCAGAAACATCATAGTGGAAGGGTATGGTGGAACAAAGCTGTTCAGTTCAGGGTGATCCAGAGGCAGAGGAGAGGATTACTGGACAAGAGGAACTGTTTAGAGACCATAGATGGTACCCAAGGACCCACTTTCATGACCCACCCAGGAGCATGCTTCACCAGTAATCCAGTAGGCATTTCATGATCCATTGAAGTTGAAAAATCGAGATTAACAGTCAAAACTACTTTATGAAAAAAATAATTTGAAATTAAAATCAAACTCCTGAGGGTTTCTGAATTGAAGTTCTCTTGGGAGCATTCGAACATTAAAGTTCTTTTTGAGGCACATCTATAGAATATTTTAGAAATTCCAAGATGTTGGCTAGCAAACATTTTAAGCTAAGCCATGACTCTTAGGTAAAGTGATGCATTTTGAGAAATTCTTTGTGAAAATGAGAGTATGGATACTTACCTCTTTAGTATAACAAGATCGACTCCAACTAAGTTGAGGTCACACCAGTGCTATCAGATCCATTTTCTCTGTTTCTGCTTTTGAGACTAGGATCCCCAGGATCCTCTTGGGATCATTGATGAGGTAATGTCTTAGAAAATTTAGGAGGTGGGTGAAGCTCTAATCTTCTCTAACTGGTTTTTTTATCTTTGTTTTTGACTCAATTATCCTTCCCACTGGAAGCCTAAGTAGAAGTGTAATTCATGAATTTGATTATTCAATATTCTAGAATCTAGTGATGTTTTCTTTAATTTTTGAAGTCTTAAGTAGAACCATGCATATAAGCTGAGATCTCAAGGTGATGAAAGCATCCATTGTGCAATAGCATCTCTTTTTCTTTGATGTTGCATAAACTTTCTTCTTTGGCTTAGGGCCTTTTAAGATATATGTATTTTATATGGTGAAGAAGAATCATCAGCCATAAACTTCTCATCACAAATTTGCTTATGTCATAGTGCATCGAAACAAAGCTCTGTTATTCTGAGGGAGAATGAAGTCCTCAAATGAAACTTTTAAAAAGAAGGAATGAGTGGTATTCTCTCTTTTACTACCTATTTTTCCCTTTTGTCTCAGTATCAAATATAATGAATCTTTTCTGGAGCCTATAACAAACTCAGTGTGCTCTAGGAACATGCTGATTAATACATGATTAAAAAAGAATCAGTTGTCTCATTTTCTCATGTTGTATGTTTAGCACATGTGGTTACTTTTTTGTCCTCCTTCACAGTGCTAGGTATAGAACTCAGGGCCCATGCCTGACACGGAAGTGCTGTGCTGCTGAGCTATATCCCCAGCCTAACCAGTGTGTGTTACTTTGATGCTAAAGAAATTTTAGTAATATGAATAATAGACTACAATTATTGGTTAAAAGATCTTTCCTGATTAAAACAAAAAGATCTTTCCTGATTTTACATATATATATATGATTCCAAAGACTATATGAAATTTATTTGATCTTGTGACATAATGTATTTAAAGATAGAGTAATTTTTATAGAAAGAAAACAAGCACTAGTTCCCATGTCTGATTTATAGTTATTTCCCTTTCATCCTCTTTTCTCTATTAAGGAAATTGGTTCCATGACTAAAAGGTGGATGTTGAGATGGTGCACCACAGGGATGTGTAGACTGACTTGTCCTCAAGGAAGAACTCTGTCCATAAAGAGTGTTTTCTAGACTACCGTGGCTTTCCCTTTGAGTCAGGAGAGTGAACCCTGGCTAACACAACACCATGCAGCCAGGAAAAAGGGCGCTACTTCAACCAGAAGGAGCCCATGAATGTGCCTTATGCCAATCCTGTGTTAACAGTTCATTACATATTCTGGATGAGAAAAAAATCTATAAGATAATCACTAATTTGTAAGGAATATGTATATTTTTTAATTTTGGGAAATTCTTCAAAATAGGATGACCTGGGTAATGGTTGCCAAAGAAAGGGATTTAGAGATATTTGACCAAAGAAGGTTGTAAAGCAAATGTTAAAAAACCTGCCAATCTCCAGTCACTGTTGGGAAATGTGGGCACAGGAAGCAGTTTCATAGAAACTGTTGAGAAGGTGTCTCAGGATATCTGACCTCAGCAGAAGCCAGCCAGAACCTGGATGGTTAGGATGTCTGCTTAGATGTATGAGGAGGAAGTAATTATGCAGACACAGTAAATTGGCTTAGTTCTGGTTGAGGTACGCACTCACGGTGCGTTTCTTGATGTCTAATCCTCAGTTTCTTTATCTGTAATGACCATAATCAACACCTCGCCTGCTTACTGTAAGAACTCTTTGCAGAATGCAGTGAGGTAGTGTCTGAGAAAGCATGCTGAGACACACACAACCTCCAGGAGGGAAAACCTTTCCTCTACCCTTTTATATTCAGGACAGGGGGACCTGAGAATGCAAGTGACAGAAGATGAGCAGGACAAAGGCATGTGATTTTTATTAGTATTTACATGCATGATGCTCACAGAAAAGAAATGGTGAGTTTTGAGGCTTATATATCCTTTCAACAAAGGAAGATGGTTTGGGAGTCAAAGGATGATAAATTCTGCAAAGTAACTAGGAAATACACAGCAGGGACTAATGAGAGATAAAAATTATTTTGTGCAAACTTGTTTGGGAGTTGGCTCCTCCACCCTGGTAACTGGAGATACTCATCCCTGCCTTTGAAGAAAAGGGGTGCTGGTGGAGGTGCACCTGCAGAGAGAAAGGGGTTCTCTGCTTTTATGCAGGTGAGTGGAAGGCAGAGAGCTTTTCCTGCATGTTTATTCATTTTTCATGCCTTCAGATCAAAGCAGTCTTTACCCCACAGTGGCAGATTTGTATCTGTTGGTCCTGATTCCCTTCAAAAGTGTTCTACAAGTGTAAGGATTGGTTCTGGTATTTTACATCAATTTTCTTCAAATTGAAATTGTAGTTTCTTAATTAAATATTCAGCAAAATCGGGACAGTTAAAAAACATGGAGCCGAAATGACAAAGACTTTTAAAAAACATCCTTATGTGTCCTTATAAAAACGCACCTATTTTTATACTAACATTAAAAGCTAAGGAAGATGAGAGAGGAACTAATTCTCTGCAAACATCCCTTGACTCTTTCACTTCCTATATGAGTTAGTTTAGAAAAGAGACCTCAGTAGGTCCTGCCTTCAGGTATAATTATCTCAAGACTGACTGACATTTAAAGCATATGACATTTTCTTAGCTCTAATTAGAATTAATTGGTGGAAGTTAGGCACTGGCAGTTTTGGGAATGGTTGGAAGCATGAGAGTATACCTAGCATTACCATTTCCTGTCGATGTTGAGATTTAGCCCCTACTAGAGAGTTCTATGTTTAGGATAAAATCACCTAACAAATGTAGCCCAATGACTGTTAGTGTCATGGAGTAATCAGCCCAGTCAATGAGAAGTGGGATCTGAGAAGAAAAAAAATTACCATTTAGCAGAAGCAGACACACAAAATCCTTGGAAATTTTATCTAAACAGTCTTGAAGTTTTTCTTATTTTAACAACCTTAAATTTATTTTACTATAACTTTTTCAATGTTAGTACTAAAAAACACAAAAAAGTCAATGTATATAGAAGTGTTTTTAAAAAGTAATAAAAACACTTACCCAAGTGACTCCTGATTATTTTAAATTCTTCCATATTTGCCTATTTCTTTTTATAATTTTGTTCACTTATTTTTTCTTCTTCATATATTTTCAATTTTATTTTGTTTGTTTCTTGCTAATGTATTCATTCAAATTCTTAATTTGTCTTTTTGAATAATATGCTTATACTTGTAGATTTAAACTCTAAGTCAATTTCTAGCCTTTTTCGTATTTCTAAACTTGTAATGAATTTTATTATTATTTTGTAAACACTTTGAAAATTTAGTTCTGATTCTTTTCTTTGACTTAATTATTGGTTAAAAGAAACTTTCATACACCTGTAACCCAGCACGCAGAGAACTGAGGCCAAAGGATCTCAAGTTCGAGTCCAGCCTCTGATACATGGTGAGTGGGCTGTATAGCAGACCCTGTTCCCCATACCCAACAAGTTCCTTAACTTTCTGTGAGCTTGTCCTTCCCTTCCTAAATGACTTTTCCTATTGTTCCTCTTCTTCATTTGTAGTTTAATGCCATTCATATCACAGTCAATGACATGTCCTGTACTAATTCTAGATTTTTGACTTGATTTATGGTCAAATTTTCATAAATGTACTATAAATTTTTACAAAGCAGATGTAGCAGATTCTGCGTACCTACTATGCTTATGTTCATCAAATGTATAATTCATATCTAACATTCTTAATTTTTGTTTAATGATTTTTCAGGAACTAAAATGATTTAAACCTTTTTATGTTTAGTCTGTCTTTCCTTGCATTTCCTAGTCTATTCATTATGAATTTTAATTCAGACTATTTTGTGCACCCATGCAGTTGTAATCTCATTATAGCTTGCATTTTTTTTCTTCTCTTTTCAGGGTAGGTGGAGCTGGAGCTGGAACCCAGCATTCTAGTACCTTAGGCAAGTACTCTACCACTGAGGCACATCTTCAGCCCACATTAATTGAATTTTTTACATTTCGAGACAGGATCTTGCTAAGTTGTCAAGACCTTAAATTTGTAGTCTTACCTAAGCCTCCTGAGTAATTGGGGCTTATGGGCTTGCATGGTCATGCTGAGCCATGCATTCTTTATCATTGTGTTTCTTATATGTTTTGTTTGACGCTTTTGTTTAAATTTAGCCTTCTAGAGTATTAGTAGCATGGTCAACAATTATTAATTAGATGGGCAAAGGAAATGTAATTTCTGTATTTTTCACATCTGAGCTAAATGCCTTCATGAATTCTTACCTGGATAGAAAGAAGACAATTGGCATTTGGTAGTTAACTGCATCTTAGTGTCTCTTGGATTAATTAGGTATTTTGGGGTATGTGCTTCGGTGTTTTAGATTTCCTTTGCTCTCCCTGCATCTGCTCATGATAGCACATTGATATGCAAGACTGGTTTACACATTACTGCAGGATCTGTCAGCACTCTGTATACTTTTGATCTCTGTGACAGGATGTCTGTTGAGGTACAATGGAATCTATCAGGGCTTTTGGGTTGAGAATTATTAATATTCTGTGGCCTCTATCTTTCTGATTCTGGATCTGTGTTTGTTCTGCTTGTTTGGGTGCTCTAGTGGGGTATGTATCCCTTCTGGGTTCCTTGCATGCTCTACACAGGTGTCGAGGAACTGCTCGCTCCTCAGGTACATGGGCCTAGATCCTTCCCTGTGTTAGACCATCATGCCAAGCATCATACGGGCATGACACTAAGCCGAGGGGATGGTTTTCTCTTGAGGATTTTAGGTTTGGGGGCCATGAGTGGGAGAAGGGCCACTAGCTCTGATATTTCCTGGTTCCCTTCATTTTGTTTGCAAAGTTTTTCAGCCTCCATCTCTTTTTATGTTCACTTTAGAATTTTTAATTTTTGTGAGTCATATTGTGCTTTAAGTCAGAGATAAATCTAAAGCACAGTGTTAAAAAAGTGTGATGTCATCTGAACATCTTTTCCTTTAATAAATGTATTTACTTCAGTTACCCATATTGTTGATCCATCAACATATCCTGCTGATTTTATCTTCAAAAACGAATACCGATTCCATCTCCTTTTTGTCTCCACCACGCCCATCCTAATATAAGCTACTTCTTGTTTTGTTTTGGTTGGATTACTGCAAGAGCTTCCAAATTTATCTCCCTGATTCCAATCTACATAGCTGCCAGAGTGATTATTTAAAAATATAAATGAGATCATGTAACTTTGCAAGACCTAACAAAGGTATCTCTTCACACATGAAACAACATTCAAATTCTCTCCTGGATTCTACTTAGTCTGTATTCGCTAGCCAATGCCTAACCCCAGCCCCCAGCATCCTCTTGCATTCCTCTCTTCCTTTCTGACTACACTTTTGCCAAACCGCACTGACATTCTTTCTGCTCTGGAACAAGACAACTTCTTCCTGCCTTAAGGCTTTTGGACTAATTTTCTCTGTGTGTGGAAGGCTCTTTATGACTTCTTGAATCTGGTCTTACCTTCAGTTGTCACATTTTAGAGAAACCTTCTCCCATCATCCAGTGTAAAGTAGCTTGCCAGTTACATTTTATCACATTAACTTTCTCCGTGATAATCATAGGACATTTTATTACCAGATTAATCATATATTATTTATCTGCCTCAAGCAATGATATGTAAGCTGGGCAAGAAATGAAGCATGCTCCTTAGTTATCACTAATGGTGGCTGTAGTCGTTCTGGTAAATTCATTAAGCACTCGCTGTGGTTCCTTTGGCCCTGTTCTAAGCTTTTCTATGTATTATCTTCATTTAATCTTTACTGCAATCTTAGGAGGTTGGAAAAGCATTGTCCTTATCTTATTGTTGGAAGAACTGAAGCACAGAGAATCCTATGATTCATCTAAGGTCACACAGCTATTAAATGGTAAAGTGGGTACTTGAACCCAGTTAAAATGACAGTACAGGCTATGTCTGAGTCAAAACAGTTACAAGTCTGAATAATTCTTCCTACACACTCAATAGTAGGAGTGAGGAGACAGATAAGTGAAAGATAAGTTCCAGTGGAACCTGATAAGTTACATAATCACTGGCATTGAAGTTTACTGTTTTTTTGTTTTGTTTTTTTGAGACAGGGTCTCACTATATAGCTCAGGCTGGCCTCAAACTCTTTGTGATACTCCTGCTTCAATCTAGGCATTGAAGAAGAGATAAAAGAGTATATAAAGGGATATTATTTTTACATTATAAAATTTCTTTGATATAAAAATATATCAGAAAATCCTGCAATATCTTCATTAATATATTTGTTGGGGCTTGTGCTTTTATTTGTACAGGTGTCTGACATCATTATTATAGAAAACAGGGAGGTAAAGGATATAAAATATACTGTAAAATGGAAACCCAGACTCAGTTCTTTTTCTGAAGTGATTCTGATATCAGTATCTTATTCTTTTATACTGTTTGAGAGATAGATTATTTCATTCATGAAAGGTGCTATAGAGGGACTGAAAGCAGGTGAACCCAAACCGTCAGGGAAAAACCAGTATTTGCCTGCTTTGAAGAAATAATTTTGAAATAATCAGGCATAATTAATGTTTGTGCTTAGAATGATGTGAGAGTTTGCTAAGAGGCCAGTACAATTCTGATGACCAGAAACAGTAATCTGATCACAGGTGTGCTAAGTAGCAATAATGACCAGACTGCATTTAGTTCCTTGTAGGGATGGGTGCATTCATCCTTACCTGGTAGGCTGGTATTATTATGTTGTACTGTCTTTCCATTTCACTATTAAGGAAATTGTGGACCAGAAAGGTCAAGTAATTTGCTTAATATTATGGAGCTACAAAATAGTAAAGCTTGAATTTGAACCCAGTCCTAGGTTTGTGTAAATAAAGCAGGCATGGCTACTGTTTGCCTGGGTCTTGGCCAGGCACTTTAATGTGTTGTCCCATTTAATTTTCATGAAGAGAGTGCTAAACCCACATCACACGTAAAGAAACTAAGATTTGGAATTAGAGAATATTCCCAAGGTTATAAAACCAAGCATGCTGGGCTCTAAAGTTTGTAAAAACTAGTAAATCATTAAACTCTTTAAATCTGCAAATGGGATACTATTTTCCCTTCTGTACAATTACTTTTACCCACACTGAGGTTTTTTTTTTTTTATTTTTTGAGACAGGGTCTCCCTGTGCAGTTCAGGCTGGCCTTGACATCACTGTGTAGCCCAGGCTGGCCTCCAACTCATGGTGATCTTGCCTCTGCCTCCTGAGTGCTGGAACTACAGGTGTGTGCCACCACACCGGCTATCCCCCTATTCTGTGTTTTTATGATATATGGGTCATACAGCATATACAGGTCAATAGAATGCATAATGTAAAACTCTATGGTTTCCAGAGCTCAGATAATCTGGGCATTGTGGTAAACTGTTTTCCACTAGTTACTTCACTCAATTCTGTCAGCAACTGAGTATTTGTGGAACTGTCATTACCTTTTTATACAGGAGACCACGAGAGTTGAGAGAGACACTTGGAGCAGTTGGAGAAAAAGGCTGGTGATCCAAATTTTTTTGGAGAGAAAATGGAGCATTTTAAATTCTTACTGCCTTCCCCTGCACTGAAAATACATGGGCTGGATTCAGAATTCTTTTAATTTTTGAGTATTAAGAAAAATGTGCAATCCTTTTTACAATGGGTTTCTTTTGGGAAGCAGGTTGGTTGAAGCTGTATTCTTTGCAGCGCGTTTCTTGAAAGGATCCGTTGGGCTAATCTGGTTAATTCTGGGCACTTCCTCTTCCCGTCTTTCTGTAGTGCTCTCTTGTGTTCACAAGATAGTCACCATTAGCGGCCTCTGATGCAGGACCGAGTGGGGGGCAGGGCGCAGGGGCTCTGGGAAAGTTATTTGCATACCTCTTGTTAGGAAGGCGGACCACATCCTGGCCAGGACAATGTGCTGTCTGATAAACAGACTGCATCCCCCAGTGTCTGCCTGGAGCCCCGCCAGCAGCGGCTGCTTTTGTCACAAGGTGCTGTTTATTCTGCCTGGAAGTCCGAGGAAAGGACGAGCCAGTTAAATGAACCTTTTATTTCTCCTATTCTCTGGCAGAAATTCCTTGAGTCAAAAACATTTATTAATATTAGATTAAGGGGGAAGCATCAGAATTCTCCATAGAATCTTTCCTATCCTGTAGAAAACTTGCAAAGTTTTAAAAAATTTTTCTCTCTAGCTATAAATTCTTTGGGTTTGGAGAAAATAGGAAACTTGGAGAATATAGTGCAAGGTCCTTTAAGATCAATGTTTGCCAAGGTTTTTTGTTGATAAATATTTATTTCCACATCTGTTTTCTATGTGTTTTCTCTCTGTTTTCCTCCTCTCTCCTAGCTCAACCCACACAGACAAAAGGAAATACAAGCTTACACAATTAATGGTGACTGCAGGACACATTGTTTAAGAATCTGGATAATAGAGTCCTAATTTCTCCATTCTCCCTACAATTTGTTAAAAGGGAGAGAGAGGAGAGAGGGAGAGAGACAGAGAGAGAGAGAGAGAGAGAGAGAGAGAGAGAGAGAGAGAGACAGAGACAGAGAGACAGAGACAGAGACAGAGACAGAGACAGAGAGAGAGAGACAGAGACAGAGAGAGAGACAGAGAGAGAGGCACAGAGACAGAAACAGAGACACAGAGAGAGAGGCACACAGAGAGAGAACTGATTTTGAGATTCAGTCTCACCATTTCTGGCTCTGCTTAAAGGATTTTCAATTCTAAATGTGCAACATACTTGTTTTTAGCCATACATTTTATTGGTGACTGTAACCACTTTAAAGAAGTTAGTCTGTGGCACAGAAATTATTTTAATATTTTTAATCAATAATTCATTTTCATATATACCTACAGCTATATGAATCTTCCTATCTGCTTTTACAATTGACCTCTGAAATCCATTCTACCCTGCACTGTGTCTGATCCCACAGGAGCACTGGGGGCTTTCAGGAGAGCATTGTCTGGAATCATCCTGAAGATAACTGTGGAGGACAGCTGTAGAAATGAGGTCACAGAACATTTTAAAAATAGAGGATAGTTGGCATTTTGAAGGATGACTGGCATTTGTGATGAAGTCTCTTAAGTGATATCTAACAGCTGAAGAAAAATAATGTGGCAGAGACTGTTTATTGTAAGGTTTACAAATTAAACCTTGCATGCGAAGAGTATTGAGGTTTATGTCGAGAATGAAAATTAGACCTAAATAGAAAACTTGGTGAAGCTTGGTCTATGCCAAAGAAGGTTAGTCATTTTCCAAAGCTGTTTGGTTTACAACTACCCAGAGCGAGTTCACTGTGCTGGACCAAAGTTCTTTTGCATCAAGTTCTGGACCAAAATATAAGTCAGATCACCATCCTTGGTAAATTCCAGTGCTGCTGATTCTGAATCTTGAGGGCTGGCACCATGTGAAAAACTAAAATAAAAAATTCACTAAATTGTGGTGCTCTTTCCTAACTTAGAAAAGCTGATATTGCCTGGCAGTTAATAGCCACTCAGGGCAGTTAAAATGAATGAAGATGATAATATCATCTCCCTGCCCCACATCTATCTAAGCCGCCGTCTGTGCTAGGGCTTTATTTACATGACTGTATTTGTTATGATATAAATGAGGTAGCAATCTTCTTCATGACACAGATATATTTACTTATTCATGCTGGGGATTGAACCAGGGACTCATGCGTGCAAGGAAAGATCTCTACCACTATGCCACATCCCTGGACCAGATGCACATATCTCTTGATCAAGGGAGATCACCTTGGCTACC